GTTGGGTCTTATTTGGTTAACTTAATATGTACGTTTAGGTAATAAATTGTTGACATAATTATTAATAACCTCATGCGCTACGTGCGTCCTACCTTCCTCAACGTTCAATACATACCCGCCGCTAAGGTCATTGACCGCCGAAGTTCATGGTGATTTCGACGAATGCATGAAGGGAACCTAACACAAACGAAACAGAACACGACTAACGTTTTATATAGGTTGCGCCACTGTACTGGTGCGAGAAGGACCAACCAAAAACTCGGCATAATGTGAATGGTAGACAGATATTTTCTTGTCAGGAATTAACGAACGTCTGTTTTATATTCAAGATTTTTAACGGTCCTTGTTAGTATAATTATCGTTATGGATGGAAGGAAGATCCTGTATCTTCATAATAATTTTATTTAGAACTTAATTATCAAGTTCCGTTTTTGTGATGGTTGAAACTTGTTATATCCTCCTTTAATGACCTCTTCGCCGTGTCATATAGTAGGTAGTATATCTTCCTGGCTAGTTTGAATTAAGAAGGGTGATATCCAATATGGAAAAATAAATGACTAGGTAAATGTTTTAAATAAAACGCAAAGTTATTTTAAATTTTTATTACATCAAGTAATATCAATGTAACATTAATTCATTCTTACACAAAAACAAGTAGAGGTTACTCAGTGTAAAACGCACCCCATCACAAGAATTTTGTTCAAGATAACAGACAAAGGTGGTTATATCTCAACTAAATTTAAATAGAATCGAAACGCGTTATGTACAACAGATAAACAATATAGGTACTAACCTTCAGCAAATTAGGTGATTATATTTACAATGAACAAATCCAACCATAATTGGTAGGTACAACATTTGGGATGCATTCCTCAGATCAAAGCACAGACAATATCTTCCTTTCTCTTATCATACGTAAGTCTGAATAATTCGTTTTAGGTACACTTGACTTCATTCAAAATTTCCAATAGTTCATTCTATCTAGTATGTCACAACCCTTATAGCCATTCATTTTAACTCTAACTACATTTAAATTTATTTACAAAGAACCTACGCAAAATAACATAAACCCACCAGCGGCTATAAGCGAAATTAAGATTTAGGTACACTAAAGTATAACACCACTAGTGCGTCATGATAACATTTTGTGATATTGATAACTATAAGAAATAGGTCATTTTACAATTCAACGTTGTGTTGACCAAAGTCTATATAATTTGATTTCATACGTAATACACTTAATCAATTAGCACAGAACTCGAAGTGTATACCATTCACAAATTTTAGAAGATGATTTTACGACCCTATTTCACGCAATAGTTTATCAAGCAACCCTACGAATACGACCAATTTATTCAATATCGAACTCATTTGAACACACTAGAACTTTAACTTATTTCTCATTAAAGACCAATAGCTGCAGTGTAACCAACTTACAAACACTATTCGTAGTCACTAAATCCTCAAGCGTATCCACTCTGAGACCTAAAAGCCTGAGAAGTAGACATATTGAATATAAACAGTCGTCATATTTGGTGAAACTCAAATTTTGTTATAAGCCTGGTTTTTAAGGAGTGCTTATATTTATGCGACACCATTTTTAACTTTTCAATTGACCGTGCATCGAATTTAAACACAGCCACAACCTCCTAAGCTGTTTATTTAAATTAATACCAACATACTAAATGTACCCACATAAACGTAACAGGTACTCCTATAGCGTTATAATTCAAGTGATTATGAGTTTCTATATACAAACTCAACAAGTATGTATACGCTTAAATCATTTTATCTGACCCTTTGGTACTTTTAATTGGACAACAACAAATCACCTACATCATAATTAATTAACTAGACATCGTTGTACACAAATGTGCATTATGATTACTTGAAATCGTTATTCAGCAAATATCAATTATTTTGAAACGTACAAAGTTACATCAATAATGTATTCGTATAATGCCCTGAAACCTTATACTACCTACTAATATATTAAACATATTATTTCAACAATCTACCTCATACGGAGTCATACGCAACTAATTATGTATTATAGGTATACAGACACATGTATAAGTTAGAGGCCGTGGATAATAAATTCAATATACCATATAATACTAATTTATATTACCTACAGAACACAGAGATGTGCAATTGTAAAAAAGTCAGACTTCCTTTTGAAATGCACCTTTCAAAGAGGAGATCGTGGTACAAATTGGTAGCAAAATAAAAATATTATTTAGATACAAATATATAGTGCGCAGTAATGATATCTGTAGCCTTAGTACGAGTTTATTTTACGTTTAAAGTAATCGTAACGAGTACGCGTTCGGCGCTCTGATTGGTTGCTTCATTGGCGCCGGCCAATCAGAGTGCCGAATGCGTACTCGTTTCGAATACTTTAAACGTAAATCAAACTCGTACTAAGGCCTCTGTACAAGTTGTGTCTACGCAAAGATTGAAGAAGACCGTGGTAACAAACAGGGAATGGCAACCCTTTTCTAAAGTGAAGGAAGAAGAGTATCTTCCTATTGGTCTTGGGGGCTTCCAATAATCAGAGGCCCATGGCATTATACCACTGCCTTGGCCCAGATATGCTCAACATTTATGGGTGACCAGAACGTAAAGAAACGTAAACGCGATGTTAGTACTGACAATCTTTATAATGAACCTACTACTAACTCCTCTTCTTTTAGCTAATACAGCCTGTTTTCCGAAAAATGATTTTTAATTAGTAATTTTTTAAGTGCTTGGTGCCACCAACTTAGGACTTCTTTCGTGAATCCGACAACAGCAGTTAGATGTTTGATAGTGTTTCTCTTGACTATCAAAACAGACGGTTAATTTTCTTACTATGCTTTAGTTAACAACTTTATAAAAGTAAAGATAACGTCCATATCCTATTGCACACGAGTAGAGCGGGGTGCATACTGCCATACTGCACATCAACGGTTATACAATACGTACATAGAAAAATTTTATACTTCACTAAAATATAACTAAGTATGTAATTGTATGGTAGGTATACCTAAACACTTCGAAGTATGTAAACTTATCCTATCTATAGCTTACTTTCAATTTGGTTTGACAACAGGAGTACCTAATTATGAAATGTAAAACATTTATTGTAGGCGCATTATTTACAATAAGTTATTATGAAAATGATTATTTTGAACTAACATTATTATGAAATTGCAGAGACATGGAAATATTTTGATATACAGAGTACCTACTATTTAATCGTAGGTTCTGTTTATTTTAACATAGGTAGCTGGAATTAGCTAAAACTATTACGTATACACAAAAAAATATTTAATAGTCACCTATCATAACGTTACATTATTGTTACTCTATGGAATATAATAATGTTTTTTTTTTCTAAACATGTTTTACAAAAAAAACGTATAAGGTTAAGCAAAAAATCGAACTGTACATTTTTTCATAACAAGCTAGAAGTATGTCATTTCGAAATCAATAACTGGCTACGATATTTTTAAACATCGATACAACAGACATTTAGATCACTTAACGTTTATTCATTGACAACAACATTATAATCTATAATATTATAGTTATAAATGAAAAAGAAAACACTTTGAGTCACTCTAAACTTATTTATATACATTAAATTAGACATCTACCCAAATGTATGTATGATATAGGTACCAAAGTATGTACACGTGAAATGCCAAGAGGCAGAGGCAGGTAGCTAATCAATGGATCATGTAACAAGCTCGAATTAGTTCGAGGAAATCACGAATGACGCCACTCTTCATCTATGTCATGTTATTAATTTCTGGGGACTTTTAAACAACCGAGATAGGTTATTTTCATTCAGTCATAGGAGTTCATTTAGTTTCGTAGTCATTAAACGGTACTATAATACACATTTTTAAAACTTTTATGGACTATGCACGTACGTTGATATTATTTAATTCTGAATAGCCTCCAACTGTATTGAACACACTCAAATCCTCCTCATCGTTTACACAACTGCTTCTACTTCTTGCGTCTAAGTTGATTCAGTTGGCAATAACATTGGCAAAAAATCTTTTGATTAGTTACGTTCTAATAAGGTAAAATTAATATTTCATCCCTGTTACCTATCATTAGACGACCAACCTTCATTCTGGTTCCTATGTCCCTATCTATAAAATACATTCAAATACTTGGTCATTACCGTAACGTAACATCGCGCTATCGATCCACAACCCTACAATTTAAAAATTTCTTCACAATTATGTAAACAGTACCCTGCTTGAGGCGTAACTTGTATCCTATTGAAACATGTATTGTCGATGTATTTTATTCTGACTGACCACTGAACTTGAATATTTCATTATTAAGTACCTAATATAGACATTTATCAATTAATTAAATGAATTGAACAATCAATGAACAAATAAAAATAGAAAATGATGTAGTCAGCTGCAAATGAAAGCAAAACACAAAACTTTGAACCATTAATTTTAAAACGGCAAACAAAACAAAATCTATAAAATCGTCTCCGGGACATTGTCAGTATCCATGCTCTACTTGATATAGTAATATGTTACTAACATAGAATGATTTAACGTTTTTAATGATTGATACGTTTCACCAGTCTCTTTGTAAACTTTTTAACAAAACTCTTCTTCTTGCATCGCCAACCGCATGTTTGAAACAGTTCAGGGTTATTAAATCCCAAAATAATTTACAAAAAATGTTTGTTCTATTAATGATTTCATCCGACACACTTCTTACTGTACTTTCATTTTAAAGTGGTGGCGTTTCTTTATTTATTTAGCTCAAACGTTTTGAGTTTATTGTTTAGATAACTATTTGTATTAAAGGTACTGCAAGGATCCGAATTATTAGAGCATTCACATGAAATACTGTATAACGTTATATCATTATAGTGTCGTAATTGTTTACCTAGATATATTAAAATATTATGAGATGTTAATTATAGTAAATAAACAATTGTTAATATCGGGAAAAAACAAATAACTTGTAACAAAAACAAAATTAATTTAACATTTAATATTTAAAAGGTACAATAAGTATTTAAAGTTAATTGGCGATAATTTTAATATCATTATTTAGCTAGGTACTATTCATACGTTTTGGCACATTTAAACGTAGTTAGTTTATCATCAATTTTGTTTTTGTCCTAATTATGTGGATGGCATAATAGTTTCCAATTCTAACAAATGGCCGGCCACATGTCACATAGTTACGTCTTCCAAATTTTATCCTACGTTATGCCAGATTAACTATCAACAGTCCATAAAACAATACAATAGCCGATCAGTGGACGACAATATGTGGCCAATTTACACTTACAGCCAAAATCAGTAACCAATCCGAACCAAAGATTTTTAATTGAGATCGATTTTTGATATAACTTCTGTACAGTTTCTGTCAAAACCTAGATCGGTCCAGACACTTTGGATTAAGGTTTTGGTTTATTAATCTCGGCTGTTAACAGTTCCTACAAAAACATATCAGATAGGTACTTTCGCAATGCGTAAAGTAAACATAAATTCTAACATTAGTGACAAACATATCAGTTTTCAAACGCACAGATTATTAACACTACAAATAGATTCATTGATATTACGGTGTCAGTAATCTAACACACATTCAAATTGTAAACACTCCTTTTATTTCTTGTCAATTCTGTGAACAAACGACTTACAGATACAGCAAAAATGTTGTAGTTTAGAATAAATTCTTGTATTTACATAACTTTTGTCTATTACGATGGGTAAAGTCAATAAGGACAGCCGAATTGCCCTTGGCCCTTGATAAAACTCATCGATCGATCCTCAATGCTGCACAAGGTAAAAACGCTGGTACAATACCGGTTTGCTTTGGTGACGATTCTATTAGGGTAAAAAGGAAATCGTTCTTTCTACAGAACTCGCAAAAAACATCTTATTAAGGTTTATGTCGAAACTTCAGAAGCAAAAATATGTAATAACCCCAACATGCTACACCAACTCGACTCACAACTCCCACCCAAATGTCTTAAATACACCGAATTTAATCTAGCAACGACCTTGTACAATTTGAAAAATAAAATATCAAATAAGTCCCATGACAAAAGAAATCCACGATATATCTGATTATAATTGACCTTCATCAATACACTTTGCTTTTATGCCAGGTTTACTGTTATCAATTTGAAATAAATTGTTATTTAACTTATAAAGCAGTTTTCGGAAGGTTTGTTAAATTTAAATGGATTCGACGATACCACGTCTTTAATACCAAAATCGAGTATAATCGAGAGTACAATAATTATCAGGTTTTAACCAAAACTTATCAGATTTGTGAATTTCTCCTTTGTAATCAGTCATTTTTATAGATTACTTACATTTTCAATATCAACAACCTTCAGGGCATCTAGTTGCCAATTGCAACTGGCAACATTTTCAGTAGGCCCACACTGCTATACAATGATATGTAAATAAGCCACAAATTGACATCATAACAGTCACCAGATGTATAATCTCCTTAGATCGATGGTCCAACATAATTCGGAACATTAGCCATTTAATAAAACTTCGGAACGGGGACGTAGTTACCGGTTTTCAACTAACGCATTATTCTTCGTCTTATTTAGTTTTGTAACTAGCTAAGTAAGTAGTTAACACCAACTAAAACACCTACCAAGAAGGAAGAAAGTGTTAACGAATATACAGATATACCAGTAGGTACTATAGGTACATGTAGACGCACTGGAGCCAGGCACTATTCACAATAGACATTTATCTAACATTACAAGAATTTTAAACATTTACAGTGAACGTTTTGAAGTAACAACATAGACAGTCAACGCGTGACCATAAAGGTGGGTAGCCAGTGCACCTGCGCGTTTGTCGTACACGCGTTCATTTAATTTATCCAGGTTGTATTTTACCTACATGTTACACGATACAATAATTAGATAATAGCAATTATCATTCTTCAACAAAAACAAAACCTTATTGAGCTTTTCCCCTTATGGTCCCTCACAGAATATTTCATACTGACGCCACCACCCGCCACAAGCATTTACATAATAAATTGATTTTGGGGTTATTAGATAGTTAACTACATTCAAATCTATGCTACAGAACTCGATCTCTAGTTCGCTTAACTCATATTTTGGTAATCACCACGTTAATAGAAATTATAATCCATTGCAAAGTTTAGCTATTTACTCAATGGTGCAACTTTTAGGTAGGTAGCTTATTTTCGAACATTTGTAAAGTCTGCATTTTTAACCAAGTAGGTACACAATATTATAATAGGTTTCTAATGATAAATCACCAGCTAAATGTAGCCCAGTTTCCCAATCACTATTATTAAGTACTCATAGGAACAGTGAATTACCATTTCATACCTGAACTTCAGAACATGCAATGAATGATGAATCTACCTATTTTACTTGTTTAGCTGTTGAGTAAAATACCTACACTATTAACTGGTCATTCTGTTCTGTATTACTTGTTTTAGTTAATTGCCTCAGCGGGCACAGTCTTTCGGGATTTTATATAATAATAACCTTTAGTCAATGAAGTCTGCCCACACAGTGGGACTTACCCATGCTCAGTCCGCTGCGTCAATGTTCACTTACTATTACAACTACACTATCAATGTTTTAATTCTGAAACATTTGGTCAAATATACCATCTACTTCATTTTGAAAACTTAACTAACAATCTTAGGAACAGACATCACAAAGCTTATTCACCAGTTACAGATCTACTTCATTAACATCTTGCAGTCCACTGTGTCTCTTTAAATATTCACTAGTGTCATCACAATCTACCTTCCTTCTTTTCCTTGAGTCAAACCTCACTCCTGTCTCCTGAACAACTTTTTCACTATTCTGAATTGCAGAAATTATGTTTTCTTTCGAAGGAGGTACTAGTTGCAGCTCATCTATGTTTTCATTAACTGATGGCTCAACAAGATGCATAACAATGCGTTCTAGACGTTTAGGATGTTCTACCGGGACATCATCATTGGCTGCCACTTCAGCTTGTTGTTTTTCTACATCAATTATAACAGAATATTTTCTCTTCATTTCTTCCATCATTCGACAACCATAATCTTCTCCAATGACACTATTGACACAAACAAAACTCTGTACTTTCTTTGTGGCTCTATCTATTTCCAAAAATCCTCGTGTTCTCATGTATATAAAATGTCCAGAACGTGACATGAGCCGGTAGTAAGATTCACCAAATTCTCTACTTTCATCATACATTTGACGTAACACACAAATGACCCAGCGGACATCTTCTTTATGCATAAATACAAAAGCCGATGTTCCAGTTACTTCTTCTGTCATGTAGCCAATAGCTAGTGATATACTCTGGTCACACTGTACTATGCGGCCATCAATCAAATGTCTTGTCCAGTATTCAGAATAAGCTGTTGGGGGCAGAATCCGAGCTGGCATCGAACTAGACAATACATGAATCATGCCAATGAAAACTACATCATTTCCACTGGATGAAAATGTTCTGTTGGTTCTAACTCTTTGCCTTCTAATGATTTGCTCATCTTGCACACCATTAGATGTTGCTTTGTCAGAGCGTCTCAAAATACCATCTATGCGGCAGCGCTCGTATCTAGCAGGATCTGACCGAGCACCAGCCCTCATAATGCGGATATGGAAATTATGGTGATGTTCAAATAGTCTGCTGTCACAGCTTGTTTGGAGTTCTTGAGGATAGATATGATGGCGGAGAGTTTCTTTATCATCTGGATGAACATAGTTATACATGTCTTGGCCAAGGAGATCTATATGACAATATCCCAATTTTTCTTGAACATTTGGGGATACGATGAACAAACGTCCACGGCATGTGACACCAAACATAACACCCCCAAACAGGTCAAAAAACTTTAAGAACGAAGAAGACCATGTCTCTATGTGGCCACATTTGATTGTATCACCGAACACATGCTCGTTGCGGAGCTTGTTGGCGGCCAGTCTCAACACACTCGTCTTATCAACCTTACGTTGCGAGTGCACTATGTCAGACAACAAGGACATTATCAGACCTATTTGGGTGTTATATTGACTTCGACGTTGTTTTTCTGCTATAATACGGGATTCCCGATCACTAGCTTTGGCTGTAGGCATACCAGGAGATTGTGAATCAGAAGAAGAATCACCGCTATGGGTAGCTTGGATCTCATAACCCATCGTCGGCGCTGGCACACCCACTGTTAAGCCAAAGTCCGACGGCGGGGCACGTATGCCTATCTGGCTCGCCATGGTGGAATGCATTCCAAGATGTGTACTTGGTCCACCTGAAGATGTCATATTCCTGCGACTGATATTGCTGCTCGCCAAACTACGTCCTTGTTGGTATCATTACAATCCAATAACCTTACGTAGATAATGAAATCGTAAATATACGCTTAAAAACATGTTGTCCACTGTATTCCACTATTGTAATTTATAAGTTAGTATTCACTTTCACTTCACAACATAGGATAAGTTCTGTTAAAGCACAAGATAAGTATTTGTTGTATTTCCGACTTTGTATATATGTACGATTCAATTGGACTTGGATTAAGGACTATCAATCACAATCACAACAGGCAACTCAGTGTTGCTACAGTTTGACACATTCCATCTCATAAATGTTGCAAACGAAATAATTAACCAAGGAAAAAACTAAACAACACAAGGTCTTTCTATATTTTTAGTCGATTTATAACGATTTACTTTTAAATGTAAAAACGAAATAAAAAATCACTCATAAATACCAATTTTTTAAGGGAGTTATAAATGAACGGAATATACTTTAAATTAAAATTATATATTCCTTGTTTAGTTTTCATATATTTGTTTATTTATTATTCTAGTGAACAGACTCAACAAACAACACAAATAAAAATCCTTGCCCATTTTATTATTATTACGTAAATAAAATGATAACACAATAACACTGCACTGTCTGCACGGTTGGCGCAGTGGTTGGGCAACCTGTCACGGATTCGATTCCGGAACAGCTCTTTGTGTGATCCACATATTGTTGATCCAGGTCTAGGTGTTATATGTATGTGAACTTGTATGATTGTAATCGCACCCACGACTTTACGACATAGAAGAAAATCCTAGTATGGGCAACGTTTTTATAAAAAAAATAACAATTTTATTTTAAAAAGAAACACCACCCTCTGAACAATTTATTTTTAACAATGGCAACCATACTTTGGCATGTCAACATATGTCAAACAAAACTTTTTGATGTCAAAATGACATCAAACGTCTATGTGAAAAAATCCGAGGGAGGAAAGACTTAGGGCCCGTTCACATTACTCCTAATTTGCCGGAATGCCGGAAATCGATTGTGCTGTGCCATGGCCACGGCACGGCATGGCTCTCAGATTAAATATCGGACTACCCAATCAGTGGCAGTCACATAAATAAATATTCAAATTCAAATAGGTAACTGGTGTGTTTAGTGTGTTGAGCACAAAAACCAGCGCATAACAGACATCTGTTATGCGCTGGTTTGAATTTTGAATTTTTGAAAAAAGACTCAATACGTATAGTTTTTCCGGGTTGCGGCAATGGTTTGTGCAGTTATGGACAATGTGAACGGTGCTTAAGTTTGTTGGGTTACGTCAACGTCAATTTACGTTTTGGTAAAGCATTGGCAAAATTGGCACCGTACAAAGTTGTAGTTTAGTACTTTACGTTTGACCGGTTGTATTTAAAAAATAATTAATGTTATCTGTTTTTTTTAGTATTGTACAATTTAGTAACAAATGAAGTAATTTTATTTGAGCATGAGACGTTGAAAATTATATTTAAGACTATTATTTGTATAAGGAAAAGTGTATTTCAAAAAAGTAAACCGGTTTTCAACTTGAAGAAGACTGTGCCAGCGCGAAGGATAATATTTTTAGTGTAATATTAAAACTAACAATGTGGAAGTTATTGACTGTTTTAAATATAATATTGCTAAACTTTGTGATCTCAGAAGATGGTAAGGAATATTTAGTATCTATTGTTTTTTTTTATTTGTTCGTTTTTGAAGAGGGGTATACAAACATTAAGCGTCTTCATCTCGTTACGCTAATGATTTGCTATTGTGTATATCATAAGTATGTGTATTTTGTTCTAAAGTATCATTAAATGTTATTTTTTTTATAAATAATCTGCATAATAATGTAAGTAACTAGTAGATGTTAATTAAAATAGGTATCAAATTTTAATTATGATAATATTGTATTACTATTGTACTTAATTTATTTGTAAATATATCACGTAAATTATTGTATTTGAAATAGCCAAGCTGAATTGTAAATGTGTTCAATCACATTTTTAATGATGTGCCATTAAAAGTTCAGTTGTTCAGTGTTCAATTATGTATTTAATGAGGTGTCAATTGATTTCATGCTATGTAATAAATTATTTGTTACACAGTGGGTGAAACCTGTACATCAAATCAGTCAATGGAAGGTGTTTGCATGGAAGTTTCTAAATGTGAAGCAGCCATTGTGTGAGTCCTATAAAACCGTCCAGGAATTAACCTTATCACCTCAACTTTTAAAACCATCAGATAAAGTATTAAAATAAACCTTCCTTATATTTCCAGAGCAATAACAAACAAGAGATTTCATGAATTTAATAGATGTGGTTTCAGTGGATTTGAAGAAGTGGTATGTTGTCCTCGGACTACAACAAAATTTGGTGAGATTCACACTGTATACATTTTTACAATAAAATTGATCTTTATGATATTGGCCTGAAAGTTGACTATTTTATTGATCTGTTTATTGTACAGGAGGAGATGATGCAAGGATAACAACAGAAAGAATAGCTGATAGAGGTGAGGCCTATAAAGTACTGAAATTACCTTCAATACTTATTTAGTATTTCAATAACATATCTGCTTGAAGCTTCTGAAGGGTACAGTCTAAACTATGATAAGATTCTTAGTAGATTTAGTAAAAAAAAACATGAATCTTTTTAATTGTTCTTTGATTGAAGTTTTTAAAGGAATGATTCGAATTTAACAATTATTTTTCTAGAATGCCAAAAAATCAAAGATTCCAGCATACCACCATTAGATTTACATATTTTGGGTGGTGAAACTGCATCATTGGGGGAATTTCCACACATGGTAAGTAAAAATTTTTCCTCATGCAATTATATAGGTATAATTCTGTGTATATAATAACTAATTCATCATTACTTCGAAGAACTTGTTTCTTATAATAATTATATAAAATCTAATTGGAAATAATAGTGACGCCTCATGCCTGTAACTCGGCCATTTGGGTTTTTTAATGATGAACAGTTCTATGAACTACCTTGTAATTACTCATTTCTATTTACTTCATTTTAGTCAATTGTGGTAAAGTGTTAATGAGGGATTTTATTACTTCACTTGACATTTATTGTGAGAAGTTACCTGTTCAAATTTATGTTAATTTGATGCTTCACTTGTTTATTTATTTCTGTATTTATTGTCTCTACATGAAATACCTATATACTGGGATTGCTCAATATTGAACGATAAATAAAATGTGATGTATAGACTCGTAAATACCTACTACCTCTTTTTGAGGGGGAAAACCACCCAATGACTTCTCCCGCCCGTTTGAGGCGAGAGGGAGTGTCAGACTCCTACTGATTAAAAATTAAAAACCACCCCGTTCCTACTCCTGTACTTCGAGCCGGAGCACCGACAACCCGTTAAGTCTTCCGCAGCTCCGTATCTGCATCAGCCCTATTGGGCCCCATCTCTGGGGGTCTGCTGGCTCGTTAGGCACGCGCGGAACGCCACGCGCCTTACGCTCGGAAAATACCTTTAATAAACAATTATGAAACTACCTATTACAAATTTCGTGTTTACTCCCAACACACGTGTTTTCGTCGGTTACTATTTTGTACGTCCAAATCTAATTGCGAAGGTCTTAGAACATCGAGTCTACGGTGTTGAATATCTACAGCAGTGTTGAATTTAAAAATATAGAATAACTTTAAGTTCAGAATGGCTAATGACGCGACACGTCTTTATGATTACGAGTCCCGGTTGTAGCTTGAAACTTGTCGAGCAATCTCGAACAATTTCAAATCATACGACTAATCTGTAAATAATACCTATCTCACGATAATTATAGCTAATGCAACATACTAAACTACGCCGGCTGAGTTTTTTCAGGAACTGGCCATTCTTAACATGAACTCTAGGCTCTCTTCGTCAAATTAAGTATACCTACCTATTTAAGTATTTCTTCCGTTACTAAGTGAGCTCAGCTCAGCTCAGCAAGTAACAACTACTGGACGTAGGAAGCTAGAACTCCGCATATACTAATTTTCCTTAAGAAATGTAGGGACTAGGGAAGTACTAAAAGAGAATTTCTGGAAATTCTTACGGGAACGGAAAAGGAAAAACAACGGGAATATTTTTTTGTGTATGTAGGAAGTCATGGCTAAAACTAGTGTTGAAAAAAAAGCGGTCACATTGCCATAAGTAGGATAGATAGTACTTTTGCAATCCGTAAGTTACATTATTGTTCGATTAACATAATTATGTTTGTATGTTTTTATCATCTGTCAGTCAAAGTTCATGGCGTGATAGTCGATTCGCACTGAGCTGCTGTTTTTGTTTATTAAACCTCGTTTGCAATGTACCTAACTATTATGTATGTAACTATATAGCATGCTTAGTGACTGGAGATATTGACTTAACTATAATATCCTATTTTAAGTTATTCATTGGTTTCAATACTAAAGAACTCTGCAATGGGTTTCCAGTATATTTTACTAATGAACTTTTGACGTAAGACGATATTTTTAATATAAAGTAAATAACAAATTACTTTTGACGTAAGACGATATTTTCAAAATAAACTAAATAACAAAATAAATATTTCAAACTTTAATATATACCTATATTTTATCCTAGCGATTTTGACCTCATTGCGTAGGGCATAAGGTAAATGACCAACGGAAAATTTTATCTTGTTTGACTCTTAAAACTCACAGAATGTCGCGGAGAACCTAACGGGTAACCGGGGTTCCAGCTCGACGTGCAGGAGAAGGAACGGGGTGGTTTTTAGTCAGTAAGAGTCTGACACTCCCTTCCGCCTCACCCAGGCGGGAGCAGACATTCGATGATTTTCCCCCTTAAAAAAAAAAACTCACAGAATAATAACTGTAGGTAGGTATTTGGAAAAACTGCACATAATGTTAGTATTAAATTATTAGCTTATGTTGTATTTAATTCATGACATTATTTACGGTTTCGTACCCAAATGATAAAATGATACCCTTAAGGCTTCGCGCCGTCTGTCTGTCCCCAACTGTATCTCACGAACCGTAATAAACATGCGACAAAGAGGAAAATTAAATATGTTATATCGTCAAATCAATTTACTGGTTATTTTTTTAATATTTTATTGTTTTGCAAAGTCGAAACAATCTTTTTTTTACTTATGAAACTACCTCTACATTCTGAATTGACTGCACGGTTGGTGCGGTGGCTGGGCAACCGGCTGCCGTGCAACGTGTCGCGGGTTCGATTCCCGCAGGGAACAACACTTTGTGCGATCCACAAATTGTTGTTTCGGGTCTGGGTGTCATGTGTATGTGAACTTGTATGTTTGTAAACGCACCCACGACACAGGAGATAATCCTAGTGTGGGGCAACGTTTAAAAAAAAATTAGAATACGTATAAGAAAGAATATTATATGTTTATTTTATTCTTCGGTATATTTATGTTACTTGTGACAAGTAAAGAATTTTTATTCCAGGTGGCCCTGGGATACGACAGAGGGAATGGATATGAGTTTGATTGTGGAGGCTCAGTGCTGTCACATACTTACGTCCTGAGTGCTGCACATTGCGTGGATACTTTAGATAGGTAAATATCTAACTTCGTTTTTTTGGGATGGACTCGGTGCAAACGAGCAAATATATTCTCTGATGGTATTGGGTGTCCCCGCAACACTAGAAGAATCTTCAATTAAAAAAGGAAGAGGAATAGTTAATAAGAGTCGGACACTCCCTCCCGCCTCACCCAGGCAAAAGAAGTCATTCGACGATCCCCCCCCCCCCACTTAAAACACTAGAGGAATCTTAACTGATTTGCTAATAAATATAATTTTTGACTTTATATTTCAGGATATTTTATTGACTGCCTCGTTAGCCGAGTTCGCAGTACGACCGCCGGGCAAGGGGTCTCGGGTTCGATTCCCGGTTCGGGCAAAGTACTACCTACACAGTTTTTATAAATTCTCAGTAGTAGCACGGAGTCTGGAATTGTGCCCGGTATATGGCAATAGGCTCACCCCCTATTACATGGGACTCATAACATAAATAGTGAAAAGTGGGTGTTATATTATACAGTGGCATAATGTACACCTCTGCCTACCCCTTCCGGGATAAAAGGCGAATTGTTATGTATGTTTGTTTTTCAGGATACAACCGTCAATAATTCGCGGAGGCGTTGTAGAAATCGGTGGTAAGGAGTTCAATCCAGACACAGATGCCAGAATAGCCGAAATAATATTAAATCCAAGATATAGTAGAAAAGAAAAATATCACGATTTAGCTTTATTAAGGTAAATGTTTTTTTAAGAACATTACTATATAAACACATATCAATTTAATGTTTTACATCAAAACGTCGAGTTGTAGTCATATCACATTATTGGATTTTAAACTTTATTGTTTGTTTATAGAATTTAAAATCATAAAAGGTACGAATACTATACTATTATTATTATATTTTGCGTTTCTCATGCCCGTAGAATGGGCATTTAGGAAAACATGTTTGTGTGTTAAGTTATTTCCTATCAATATGTGTACTTGGGTCAGTTATGCAGATGCCTGTATAGAGACCTGTTATTGTTGTTATTTAATTATAGTTTTTCATCAAAATCGTGTTCCGTACTCTTCTGATGCAAGCGTCTAACTAATTTTATGAGATAATAAATTTGTAGTTCTTTAGTTTTCTTTATCAATAGGGTAGTTTCCTATATTTATTTTACTGTCCGTACTTAATTAATGTACCAGACATTAATTTAAAACTTTAGACACGTACTTTTTCTTTTCTCACAAAATTATATAGTTTCGACGATATATTAATTTGAAATATCTACGTAAGTATAAGTGACGTCACAGCGTGCCACATTTTGTAGCACGTTATGACGTAACGCCATAACGTGCCACTTTATCGAAGTATTGCAACATAATACGAGAAAATAAAAAATACGTGTCTAATATTTTTTAATTATCTAACTGATGGACTAATTAGATTTTTAATTTTGATAACCTGGAAACTACCCAATTGTCCATTATGGTGTGGATATAAAGGTAATATCAATATTGAAACGCAATGAAACATACTAGCCAAAGAGTCCTTAAAAGATATTGTATGTTTTCAGATTAGAAACACCTTTGCAGTTCTCCAGTAACTTAAATGCAGTTTGCTTGGAGACGAGTCAGGAAGATCCTAAAATACCCCTCACCATCACCGGATGGGGAAAAACTAGTAATACAAGTAAGTGACGAGCTTATAAATTGTGTGGGTCATTAGATCTAACCCATACAAAAGAATCACCCGTATCTTAGTTTTGCACGAGTAATCTGAACCGGTTCTGAGGCCTTAGTACGAGTTTCCTTTACGTTTAAAGTAAACGTAACGAGTACGCGTTCGGCGCTCTGATTGGCCGGCTCCAATAAACCAACCAATCACAGCTCCGAACGCGTACCCGTTACGATTACTTTAAACGTAAATCAAACTCGTACTAAGGCCTCAGAGCACAGAACGCCCTCTCGTTTCGATTATTTTAAACGAAAAAGAAACTTGTACTAAGCCCTCTGGTCGTGAGCGCTTGATGCAGGCAAGGTAGGTACCTACTTTGAATGAATCGATCGGGTTATGTCGCGACGTCACCGCACCGCACCAGCTATTGAATGTTGTTCCCATTGCGGTCATGGATGCAATTTGTTCTCTATGGATGTAATTAAGTAATTAGATTTACCTATTGTGTTAAATTAGAGATAAATGAGAAGGCAACTTCCGATGCACAGAAAATCTCGAAAGAGATTATGTTATATGTATGCATTGTACATAAAAACAACGTTTGTTATTAAATGTAACATAACATCACGCCTTTTATCCACAAAGGGGTAGGCAGAGGTGCACATTATGCCACTGTACAATGTAACACCCACTTTTCACTATTTATGTTATGAATCCCATGCAATAGGTGGTGAGCCTATTGCCATATACCAGGCACAATTCCGGGTTATTAAATGTGTATTGTGTATATAAAAAAACATACCTACTTAAATATACACAAATAGCGTTACTCATTACACCAACAGCCCATAAGTGGCCACTGCTGACCAAAACAACTCGCACGGAGAAGATTTAAGCATTAATTAGTTAATAACCACGCTTGCTCAATGCGGGTTGGCGATTTCAAACTTATGATTAGATATTATAAACCCAGGTTTCCTCACGATGTTTTCCTTCACCGTTCGTCAGTGCCAGTGATCTCTAAATAATATTAGAGAGTACCTACACATAATAATTAATTATTGCTTAAAAGTTACCTAAAAGATTTTTAATAATTATGAAATTATCTACACAATTTATTGTTCTACCGCTGCAATCAATTTAATTTTTGCTTATAATTCTAATTTGTCATCCTAATAATGGTCGATAACTAACTGTGACTCTCACGCCGCCTGACAAGCGTCGACATTGCTACCTGCTCTTCATGGATCATCATTCAAACAGGTTGGCTTTAAAATTATGGTGATTGTATAACATAATCGAATTAAGAGTTTTTAACTGTCGACAAAAAGTTATTGAAGATAAGTCTGCTAATATCGACCATGTTGACAGTTATACCTGTTAATAGTAATAAAAAAAGAACTTTTTGTGTAATTACAGGAGACACGAGAAGTAGCTTGCTATTAAAAACGAATGTAACTACTGTGGGTCGCAGTAAATGTAACGAATCTTACACCAATTGGCGGAAACTGCCGTCGGGAATATCACCCGAACAGATGTGTGCTGGGGATCCCGAAGGCATAAGAGACACGTGTCAGGTAATTATTATAATTACATTAGGTACTTACACCTTTTATGATTTCTCAAAGGCAAAGCCAAGATTTACGCATATTAAAATTTAATCAATAATTCTCGATTCAGGTAAGTAATAAGTGCTGTGGAAAACAGGGGTACGCCCCTGTGATACGGCAGATACGGCGTATCTGCCGTATCAATTATACGGGGCCCTCGAACTACGGAGGCCCCCAAAAGCAAAACTTAGGTATTAAAACTTCCCGATATTTGATTTTATTTCAGTAATCACAATAGTCAAATAAAACTAATTTTCCGTAAACCATGCGATTAAATGTTGGTAGAAACTTTAGAAAAAATGAAGCAATCATTTCGATTTTCAGAAAAATTATTAGTATTTTATGAATAATCTTTACCCTTCATAAGGGCCCCCAAACAAATTTTTATACGGAGCCGAGGCACGCTACGCCACTAAGGTAATATGATGTGATCCGGTGACAAGGATTATGACATACCCCCATTTTAAGGGTAGACTTTGCGGCAGTGAAAATAGTCCCAATAATAAGTGTGGATGTATGTACACAGGGAGACTCAGGCGGGCCGCTACAGAGCTCGGGGCCGGATGGGATCAGCCGGTTGGTGGGTGTGACGTCATTCGGTCGCGGCTGCGGATCCTCCGTGCCCGGCGTCTACACGCGCGTCAGCCGCTACCTCGACTGGATAGAAAGCCTTGTCTGGCCTAACGCTCAATAAACACTCAACATTTTTATCACACTTCTAATAGGGATGACGACATTTTTTACCAGTATATTAGTGTTCTTTTCTCATAATCTAAATTTTTACGATAATGCTTTTGTTTTTTTTTTTACACATAACGATGACGTAGCGAGGTTCCACTCCTGACCTACCTAGTACATTTATTTTTTATTTTTCGTTTACTATTCTTTCATTACCTAATAACGGAGTAAATAATGAAGATTTTCAATTTTCATACTCTGTCGTCGTCCCTATTGACGTCGTCGTTGTAAGACATTCTCAAACTAGTTACTTTCAATTTATTTATCTAAATAAAATAAAAGACTGAAAATAATAATGTTTTTATTCACTGGGTGGCTGTGACTTGACCTTTTTTCATGATTTTGCTTGTGTTAATGCTTAACTAACAAACTAAATTAAAGTCGTATAGGCATGATGTAATTGTAAACTGATTGTACCTATAAATCTATACTAATATTATAAAGATTTGTACCTATTTTTGTATGTTTGTAATGAATAGGCTCAAAAAGTACTGGGCCGATTTAAAAAATTCTTTCGCCAATAGAATGCTACATTGTTCCAATTTGATACAGACGACATTTCATTTTGAAAAAAAATTAGGGATCCTTGGTAAAATTTGAACAATGTAACCAAAGGTGTAGAAAAATGAGTCTTAAAATGTCTTTCGTCGAATGCGCTGCCGAAACTATTAGCGATAGAACAAAATAATGTACAACAATATTGAAGAACATCATAATGTCTACAAAATATATAATAATACACTATTGTAGTTATGCCACTACAACAATCCAAATATCCATAAATAAATAATTGTCTACCCCGTGCAAAGCCGGGACGGGCTGCTAGTATATTATAAACTGGCTTCTGCCAGCGGCTTTGCCCGCTTTTCCAAGGGTAAAAAGAGGGGGAAAATCATCGAATGACTGCTCCCGCCTGGGTGAGGCGGGAGGGAGTGTCAGACTCTTACTGACTAAAAACCACCCCGTTACTTCTCCTGCACGTCGAGCCGGAGTCCCGGTTACCCGTTAGGTTCTCCGCGACAAGGGTAAAAAGCCTATGTGTTACTCTAAACCATTATACCCTACTCTACCGCCGCGACCCGCGTCCAGCGGTAACCATGACACAAAAATAAATCTTATAGCATGATTCAGTATTTATGCGCGACGGGCGCGATGGCTTATTAGCGTATTTCATGTATAAGATTGGCGTTTCTATACCGATTTGTAATATTCTTTTTTTATTTTATAGGTAATAATGTGAACTTTTAGTAATTGTGGATAAGTGGGAGTATTATAAACGTAAACAAATATAAGCAGAAAGCTCCGAACTGCTGAGCTATCGGGAGTTACAAGTGTTATTGTGAGCCAACCATAAAAGATAGACATATGCTATTGTTGGATATTTTTTAGGTAATTTTATGTAAAACATTTCCATCATACATGATTTTTATGTAGCTTTAACCAATAAGACTGCACACGCAATGAAGGCTTAAAAAATGAAGGTAACTTCTCCCGTTTTCCCAACATTTCCCTTCACTGCTCTGCTTCAGTTGATTGAAGCGTGATGGAAAGTATACTATCTTCCCCAGGAGTATGAAGAATAATTGTGCCAAGTTTAGTCAAAATCTGTCCAGTAGTTTTTGTTTCTATGAGGAACATACAAACAGACAGACAGACAAAAATTTTACTGATTGCATTTTTGGCATTAGTATCGATCACTGATCACCCCCTGATAGTTATTTTGGAAATATATTTCATGTACAGAACTGACCTCTCTGCAGATTTATTATAACATAACATCATGCCTTTTATCCCCGAAGGAGTAGGCAGAGGTGCACACAGAAGTACCCACTTTTCACTATTGATGTCGAGTCCCATGTAATAGGGGGTGAGCCTATTGGCATATACCGGGCACATTTCCAGACTCCGTGCTACTACTGAAATTTTTTAAAAACCCAGTAATATTTTGCCTGACCCGGGAATCGAACCCGAGACCCCTTGCCCGGCAGTCGCACTTGCGACCACTCGGCCATCGAGGCAGTCATTTATTATAAGTATGATGATATACATAATCGATCGATTCTAAATCGTTTTTCCACATTATTATTATAATAAGAACATCACTATACTCGGAATTTTAATTCGATTCCAGATTTGACAATTTCAGTGTTGCAACGTTATGACATTTACTAAATAGTGACGTTGCGAAATTATTCGATATGGAAATGCAATATTTCTGGATCGATTATTTTCGTTTATAATTGTAATCTCGTAAACTAAGTACTTTAGGAAATTAAATATTTCTGAAACGATAATTTAGCTTTGACGATTAATTAACGATCTGAGACTTTTCTTTTATAATTGTGTGTGAAATAAATAAAAAAATGCAATCATGAAGAAACATGACAAATAAAACTGATGTATGTATTATGGTAATAAGTTATTTTATAAATTGTCGTCGTCATCGCTATCGCTATCCTGTCACTTTCTGTAACATTTATTATAAAACACACACACTGATTGTTTATCGATTTTTGTGTTCATCACTACACTATTATATGTGGTATCATTATTACACAAAATGACAGTAGCTATTGTCAAATCTGGAATCTAATTAAAATTCTGACTATAGGTATGTAGGCACCTGTGGTTTTGGCGTACCTACCAACCTTTGTACTTGAATAACCAGAATAGTTTGGAACTTATTTACATCCAGGTTTTACAAAAAAGACAACATAAGATGTAAAATAAAAATGTTTTATTGAATTATATAAGTAGGTATTGATTGATATTCCGTAAATTCTAATTCTAAATAGCAAATAACTAACACTACCTATGTATGCTACCAACTAAGCCTCTACACTATAATAACCTTAATAATTATGATTTAATCATTTTTATCCATTGTTACTTGATGCAAAAACAAAACTTTAAAAATCCCTTATGAAATCAAATGCATTAATCGGCAGAAATAGCTGAGCTTGTCTTGATTCTGCAAATCATTCATTTGATTTCAACTCTAGTTGAATAAAGAAGTGTGTATCAACTACAAAGACATGCACCCGAATACTGATATGAAAGGTTACTCAATTTTAAGTTGTACTCGAATACCGTGCTATCTCTGTCATTTTACAAAAAAAATGTAGTGATAGAACTATACAAACGGGGCTTAACTCGTCGAGTACCGTTTTTGTAGACACAATTATAGAACAATAGGTTGCGGTCACCGGTGACCGCTTGGTGTTTGACAGTTTAAAATTGAGCCTTTCAGTATTCGGGCGATAGGTATTAAAATATCAACAGATTTAGAAGTTAAGTTGGAAATTTGCTAAGTTGTTCTGTTCCGACCAAGCTGCAAATTTTGACCCATCCATCTCAGGCGCATGCTGGTTCCCAGGGAGTAGGGCATGGCTTGTGCCTCCTATACGTGCTTTACATTCCGGACACGTACTGACTTGCATTGCTCCGCCACACTCGCCAATACAGTAGATATGCCCATTAGGGCATTTATACCAGTGACCTGCTTTTAGACCAATGGCTTTAACAATAAGTTCTCTCTCATATTTAGTAATTTCACCACTAACTTTAATTATCCCTTGCAGCGTTTTCAGAGACTCTATAGCCTTATCTTCAGAAAACACAGATACAGAGAACACTATTGTTTTTGTTAATTCAATTTGTTGTTTCACTTTCGGTAGATTTTTCATATGCTGACATGTATTCAGAAGTTTACCGAATTGTGTTATGACGTTCAATCGTTTAATCTCATTACTAATATCTTTTTGTTGTTGTTCACTTATTTTAACTGGCAATGTTGCTGTTGGTTTAATTGAAATTGCATCTAGTAGTACATTCATATTTTCCTTCATTTCGTCCACGAACATGGTTGTTTGTTTATGATGTTGTTGCCAACATTCAACAATCATTTCAAATATATTGAGGTATACACATTCCATTTCTACTTGCACAAGTGACACCTTTTTCTGCTTTATCACATGATTTTCTAGATTTTTATATGTTGTTTTCAATTTTTCATCCTCTGAAAAATAAATAAAATAATTAGAAAACCCTGTAGGCAACCCACATATGTAGCTAAGAGACAATCAAACATCTTAAAATTGCTAATTTTGGAAAATGACTTTTAGTCTAGCCATTGTTAGAAAAAAAGGGCATTAGCTGATTTCCATGTAAGTTTTGAAAAATTGTTTTATAAATTTTGGTGTGCTTTGTCCGAATTTCTGTTATCACCACTTTCTGGCTCATTTTACAAGAAAAACATTTACTACGAACGTAAACTACACGCAATACATATCTAAGTTTCGATGACTTCCTTGTAGAAGTTTGGACAACTTTTTACCTATAGCCAAAACTTATAGTTTTGACAATATAATATGTACTGTACTTTTTGTAGTTTTGGCATTTTGCGGCGATCTCGCCGCATAATATGCACATTTCAATGAACAATTTGAAAAAAAAACTTTTCCACATATACGAGGTGGCAAGATGCAAAATGAAAATTCGGAAGAGCACTTCATGCCCCACGCTTCAAACTCAGACCCGATATTTGGGGATCGTACAAAGAATTGCTTCGTGCGCCAATCGAACCGACGACGACACGTTGCACAGCCGCTGGTGCCCGGCAGTACACTTGGCGCATGAACATGTTCAACGTTTGATTAAGACCTAATAAGTAGATATAAAGAAAACTACTAACTTGAAATATCAGTCACGTATTTTGCAAAACATGTCGTCATTTTTCTACGCAGTTCTGTAATCTTCGTCGAAATTTTATCGTTTGTTCCGTAAACTCGGATCTTTATAGGGTTTATATCATCTTTGAACCTTTTGTTCACGATATCTTTGTATCTATTGGTATTGATGATCGGTTTGCGACAAAATGGGCATGTTCGTATAGTAATGTTTTCTTGATCGCCCAGCATCAGGCTATCCATGTCATCGACCTCCAGAATATGTCCACAATCTTCAAGTAAAATAAATCTGAAAAAAAAATATTATGTAATAAAGTATCTACCAAGTAATTGATATGTAGGAAACTATATGTAGGTCTAATAGGTGTTATTACAACCAATCCAGATATAAATTTTACTAGGCATGCTACTAGACAATTGTCAATGAAATAATTAAATCTGGTTGGCACATGAAAGCTTAAAGTGAAATTTATTCGTGAGAGTAAAAAACGTTACTTGTCGTTATCTCCGTAAGCATCGCCGAGGAAGTCGGTAGGGAATTGTTCTGGGCGACAGATCTGGCAGATGTCGGGGCACGGCTCCCCGCACAGGCCGCGACACATGTGTCCGCAGCGCAGTCGGCGCGCGCACCGCT